GGCGCCTTAGCCGGTTGAGCTATAGGCGCCGAGCCTCTTCCTGGGACCTTGTCATCCTATTTCTCAGGCTGCTCCCACCCAGCCCCTCTTCGCACCACCACACAACACAATGCATGGCCATGATTCTTTTCACCGTCTGCCTCCTCCTCCTAAGCTCCACAAGAGCAGAGGCCTTTGTGTTCTTTTCTCAAGAGGAATTCCCATGATTCTTAAACCAAAGCATCCAGCTCTTTCCAGGTGCCAAGTGGCCACTGACGGAAGATTGGGGCAATGGTCACACTGGGTAAGGAAACCAGAGCCACATTTCAGATGGATTAAAATCTTTCTTCGGAAGCTGCTGTGCTGAGGACTTCAGAGAGAGCAGTAACCTCGGTGGTATAAAATCCTACACTTGTGGGGAGGAGAGGAGGGAAGGGCTGAAAGACATTCAGTCCTGTGCTTCCTGCATGCTTTTCCTGCTGACTGAGGCAAAAGACTTATGACTATTGTTTAAGCAGCCTCAGGAGATAGGAAGGAGAATGGAGAAACTGCTTGCATTTGGGGAATAAAGAATTTATTCAAGAAAAGGCCCAGTAAGATCTGTTATAAACAAATACATCTGACACAATCAGGAGTGTAACAGAAAAATAAAAAGTTGCTGTTTTACTTGATTTTGAATAAAACTGAAGACTTGTACTTTAAAAAAGATATGATGGCAATTTTTTTCTAAAGGACCACATCCTCTACAGCAGTGGTTCTCAACCTTCCTAGTGCCGCGGCCCTTTAATACAGTTCCTGTGGGTCGCGACCCACAGGTTGAGAACCGCTGCTCTATAGGTTTCCTTGGTGGTAAGGTGGTCTACTTCATTTCCTTATGAAACCTTTCATGCAACCAAGGCAAAATCATGAGTAACACGCCGAGCACGGTAGCTCACGCTTGTAATCCTAGCACTCTGGGAGACAGGAGAAACCTTTGAGCTTGGGAGTTTGAGACCACCCTGAACAAGAGTGAGACCCTATCTTTCCCCAAAATAGAAAAATTAGCTTGGTGTTGAGGCAGGCACCCGTAGTGTCAGATGCTAGGGAGGCTGAGGCAGGAGGGTCATTTGAGCCCAGGAGTTTGAGGTTGCTGTGAGCTAGGCTGACACCATGGAACTCAGGGCAAAAGAGTGAGATTGTCTCAAAGTGAAACAAACAAACAAACAAAAAATAAGTAACTTTGCCTACAGCTACCAAATCTATGGCTCACCTGGAATGACCCACAGATTTAGGATTTTGTAATAACTGGGTAATTGAGAAACACTCAATGTAGTCACTCTAAGATGTCAGTATATTTTCAGACACAAAGTTTTAACAATTCAATGTTTGTTTCCACTAAAGCGTATGATTACTTTAAAGATAGCCAGTTACTTTTTTTTTTACCTGGGTCTGAAGTTTCATCATATCTGCTTCAATTTTAAGGTTGGATTCATTCAGTTCCTTTATTTCTTCATCCAAATGCCTAATTTCTTCATCACCCTCTATACCTATAAAGAGTCAGACTCTCTTAGTTCAAACTGAAAATATAAGACTGTGACAAATGAGTCATTTTGTGATTAATTTGTGGTTTACTGGTTGAAAATGACAGTTTAATGTGAAGTGTTTTTACCAACACCGTACATACCCAGGATTCTGAACACATGGGTGGGGACTATGGGAGGAAAGAGAAGAGGGAGATGTGACCCTGTGATGCAGCCCGGGGGCTGCAGGCATCTGCAAGGTGTTCTCATTCCCGCCTCGCCGCGCCCTGCGGGAATGCTCCACTGTGCCCTTCCGCATATGAAGACACTGAGCCTCAGAGAGGCAAGTGAAGCCTCTGGAATCACCCACGGAAGTTAAGTAACCTGCTCAAGTTCAAATTCATGGGCAGAGCTGGGATTAAACTCCAAAGCCCACTGCAGTGCACAGTGCTGCCAGGACAAGCTTTATGCTGAGTGATAAGATGTGTTGAACTGGACCTTAGTGCAGTTTGGACTTTACAGAAGGTCCAGTTCAAGCTTTATGCTGGGTGATCAGATGTGGTATGTGGTATAGCTATGGTGCTGCCTCCATGATGGGAAAGATGGGATGGGGGAGCAACTTGCACTAAGATAATTCAAAGCTAATTTTGGGTTACAGATGCTTGTGAGAAGAATCTCTAAGCGACAGACTGGGTTTCGGGTACTAGGCTTTATTTATTATTATGTTTTCCCAATGTTAATAAAGACATCCCAGCCTGTGCACTTCCAAATATTAACTCATTTGATCTTCTTAAGAAAACCATGAGTTAGAACCCTTATTACCTTAATTTATGAATGGGGAAACCATTCCTGAACTGGACCTTAGACCCGTGAGTGGAGGCAGAGCTGGGGTCACTGGTGGGAGAGTCAGAGTCCAGGGACACCAAGGGGGTTTTCTTCACATGGACTTGGCTGAGGAGCACATGTAACTTGGGGGAAAGAGCTTTGATGCTGGTCTTGATTCTGGTTTTTGAATTTTGACAGCATATTTAACTTCTTTGTGCTCCAGTTTCCTCTTCAGGACAACAGACATAATATCCATGTTGTGGAAGGAAAGTAATAAAATGTGGCATGTGGAAAGTGCGGGAGGCTCTCAATGAATGGGGGTTATTTTCCCCTGATTATTTTATAGATGGAGTGTGAATACAATGTAAAGGTTTAAAGATTTTAAGAAGCTGGGGTCTGGGTGTGGTGGCTCATCCCTGTAACCTCAACACTCTGGGAGGCTAAGGATCCCGTGAGGTCAGGAGTTTAAGACTAACTTGAGCAAAAGCAAGACCCAATCTTCATTAAAAATACAAAAACTAGCTGGGCATTGTGGTGGGTGCCTGTAATACCAGCTATGCAGGGGGCTGAGGCAGGAGGATTGCTTGAGTCCAAGAATCTGAGGTTGCTGTGAGTTAGGTTGATGCTATAGCAGTCTAGCCTGGGCAACAGAGGGAGACTCTGTCTCAAACAAAACAAAACAATACAAAACAAAAAACATTTTAAAAAGCTATTAAGGAACCAGAGCAGGGAATCTCAGTAGTTCAGGAGAATGAGTCCAACCCAGAATTGAGAATGAAGAGGTATCAATGTGAACACCTGCAGTTAGATGTGATAAGAGCAAATTCATGAGAGCAGGATGGCAGTGGGGGTGGGGGTAGGTTCAATTAATTGGTTTGAAAAATATCTAGCCTCTTACAATTTCCTGGGATGACTGTTTTGGGAAACAATTACCTTCTGAAGGTAAACATTCATATTCTGCATGACCCAGAGATTCCAAAAACCAGTTGCACTTCTACAACTATAAACATACAGATGTGTGGTCACAGAAGCTCAGCCTGGAAGTGAGCCCCATGCCCCTGCAAACAACAGCAGTGACACTGTTCTGTTCTGTTTTGTTTTGTTTTGAGACAAATCTCAAGCTATTGCCCTGAGTAGAGTGCTGTAATGTCATAGCTCACAGCAACCTCCAACACTTGGGCTCAAGCAATGCTCTTGCCTTGTTTTTCTATTTTTAGTAGAGATGGGTCTCACTCTTGCTCAGGCTGGTCTCCAAATCGTGAGCTCAGGCAATCCACCTGCCTCAGCCTCTCAGAGTGCTAGGATTACAGACCTGAGCCACTGCGCCCAGCCTATCAGTGACTCTTAATAATATAATATGAAGAGAAAAAAGTAAGCCCTGAAAGTCACAATGGATGCAGCCTGACAGAAAAGTGACTATTCTGCAGGTACTACTGCCCACTGAAGAAACGTGGGCCCCGCAGGGACCAATGAAGGGAGTGGGTCGTCAGAGTGGCCTACCTAGGGCTCTGAGATTTAACAGAGAAAGAAAAACAAACCGGCAACTAAGATCTAGGTATCTTAGCACCTAGACAGTTTGAATGTGAGTCAACACCATGACACAGCTACTAAGGAAATGACCAGCGCTGTCCAGGGCCACCTGATGGAGGCACAGCCTCCGGGACATGGGACTCATTCTGCGCCCGCGGCTGCACGTGGTGAAGGGGCTGCATCTCCGACCTCCGAGCGCCGTGTTGCACCAGCTGGCACAGCCGGAGGGATCCTCGCTCAGGGACTGATGGGAAGAGCTAGGCAAGAAAAAGTGGAAGTATTTGGAATCTCAGGGAAGCGGGTGTTTGGAGTGCTAGCCATGCTTGAAATTTTTCTAAGTTGAGCAAACAAAAACTTCTTGCTCAATTTCTTCGACAGATGAACTTTTTCTTTCTGTTTTCTTGCAGTTACACTGCACTTTAGGGAATGGTATTTTCTTACAGAATGCCGGTGAGGCAGACAGAAGGCGAGGAGACCGTTGTTATATGTGAATCCCTATGAGGCAGACAGGCCAGGTGCCCTAGGGCCCCTCAGTGCAGAAGACTTCCTCACTCTGACTTTAAAGGGCAAAAGGACGCAGCCCTGTGAGAACCTGGCATTCTGGGTGGAGAGGAAGCAGAAAGCGGGCCGGGCAGGAAGGCTGAGTGCTCCAGGAATGTAGAAGGTGGGTGAGGGGACCTCACTACAGGCTCTGCTGTGACAGGAGCTGGGGGGAGGGGGGAAGGGGGTGTTAGACAGGGGAGTCAGGTCATTCTAGCTGATTTTTAAAAATCATAACTTGGATTTCTGAGTAGAAAAGAGATTGACAGACAGAGCGGATGCCAGAAGACTGGGTAGGAGATTCCTGAGGAGTCCTGTTTAGGTCTGACGCCCCCTGCAAGGGGGAGAGGTGAAGAGAAAGAGATCCAGTCTGGATGTTACCAGCAGGTGGAGGCTGCAGGCCTTGTGAGGGGCTGGAGATGGGATGAGAGGGGGAGGAATCGCTGATGACCGCTTGTTTCTGCTGGGGCAGGTGGGCAGCTATGGTGCTGCCTCCATGATGGGAAAGATGGGATGGGGGAGCAACTTGCACTAAGATAATTCAAAGCTAATTTTGGGTTACAGATGCTTGTG